TTGAAAAGTGTTGGTGCAAGGACACAGCCTTGTCTCACTCCCAAGTTAACATGGAAGCTCGACAGGCCCCCACCATACTTTACATTTTCAGTTACAGTATATAGGCTTGCTATTAACCAATAATCCGTGTCGGAATTCCTCAAAGTTCTCAGGATCTCCCATAGCAATTCGTGATACACCTAGTCAATCCTTGAGGTCGATGTAGGCTGCAAGCAGCTCACGGCCAAACTCCCGACGGCGTTCTAAAGTGACTCAGAAGCACTAGGATACGGTCTATTGTGGACTTTCCAAGAGTGAATCCTGTCTTTGTTGCCTAGGTAGGTGGTCGTGGATCCGTTTCAGGAGAATGTGGGTGAAAACCTTGCCTGGTGTACTGAGCAGTGTGATGCCTCGGTAATCGCTACAATCCCTACGATCCCCTTTTCCCATCCAGAGAGGGATGACCACACCCTTCAATAGCTCAGGGCGAATGGAATCAGACTGCCAGGGCAGTATGCAAGCCCTGTGCTATGGGTTTGTCCCCAGCCTTTAGCAGATTAGAAAGGATATCCCACATGCCCACAGCCTTTCCATCCTTCAGCTAAGATATTGCCTTGGTAACCTCAGTCAGGAAAGGAGGTTCCTCACTGATGGGTGGGTTCGGCACAGACTTTGTGGCACCACTTGCATCGAGACTAAGTGCTGGAGGGTCTACCTGATACAATTACTCAAAATACACAGCCCAACGTTCACCAACCATGATCTGCGATGACCCGTCCATCCACTGAGCAGTCATCTGCGAGAAGTCACTCAGTACAAAGGAAGGTTTCTCATCGAGTTTACAAACATCAGTAGGAGCGTACACAACAATAAGAGACAAAGCCAAAGGCATGCTTTAGTCTCAATGCCATAATACGTTCATCAATCAGAGAAACCTTTACTACCGAAGGTTAAAAGTCGGCTGGAGATGGTTATGGCTACTCCCTGGCTCACACGCATACTAACTGTGCCACTGCCGGTCTCCTCACCTCCGAGAGGGCTGCCACCTCAACTCCTAACCTCGATAGAAGGGGTAATCGTACGTCTTTGTATCAGATAGTTGCAAACTTTTTTCAGTCTTGTGGTATTTTATTTTACATCTACCTTATTGAAAGCATAAATTGTAGTTTCTATGCCATAGTAAACGTAACAAGAATGACATGCATGTCTTCTGTAATGAACTTAAATTAGAAAATGTGTAGAATTTGTCGGTATAGAATAACGACATCGATGGCTACGCAATAACAGACACTGCCAAGTGGATATAACTCATGGAATGGTGTGACAGCTTTAACCATCTGACCTCATCCCTTTGAGAAGCCCCAAAGCCCCAATTTTTGACTGGCTCTCCAGCCACAACAACACGAGTAAACAAGCTTGTTGATTAACGGCAAAGCATACAGGGAACAAACTTTAACAGAACTTGTCACAAGAGTTAGTCGTGAAGTAGCAACAGCAGACCGATAATAGCACTACCCAGGCAGCGAGAGTCAACCGGCAGGGAAGGATGGATGAACCGAGGTCATCCCTCATGCGAAGAGGCCTGATTGCTAATCTGATTAGCAATTCCTAGTCAGGACTAGCCCAGAGGAACGCTGTTGTGATCAAGCAAAGCGCTAGAAACTATCTTGCACTAACTACTGGGGCCTGATTCACTAACGCACTTGTATTAGTAAATGCGTTAAGATCGTTCCCGCTTATATCGTGAGGCGACAACGCTCAATCTTTTAAGATCGCTAAAAGCATTCAAGCCTCTAAGGTAAACGTGATGAGTCTGCTGAAACAAGCTCTGTGTGTGTGGTGTGTGTTGTGTGTGTGTGTGTGTGTGTGTGTGTGTGTGTGTGTGTGTGTGTGTGTGTGTGGTTGTGTGTGGTGTGTGTGTGTGTGTGTGTGTGTGTGTGTGTGTGTGTGTGTGTGTGTGTGTGTGTGTGTGTGTGTGTGTGTGTGTGTGTGGGTGGGTGTGTGTGTGGGTGTGTGCTCACATATATACATATTTGTGCATTTGTGTAATCAATAAATGAACAAATAAATAAATAAAACACTCACTTTTGTTCGAAGTCTTAACCCTGCTTGACCAGCTTGTGGGCACCATCACTTATCATTAAATCGATCATCATCGGATTTTCTAAGGTGCAATGGTCCTGGTAATTTACTTCTGCACCCCCCTCCCCCTTCACCTAAGACCCACAGAACAAATGTGATGTATTCTCTTGCTCCCTGGCCAGTTGTCCTCCATGCCTTTTGATGACTCCTTATTTTCGGTTATTCTTAAAACTTCATTGACCAAACCGTCATAAATATATCAAATATATCAGAACTTGAACGGGCATCTGCCTCTTATTTTTCTTTCCTCTAGTTGGGTTAATGTTTAATGTGTTAAGCAAATAAGTGTGCTACACATCAAAGGTCATATAGTAGATAATGTATTGTGGCGAAAGGGGCAAAATTTCTTGTTTCAACTGTCATATGGCATTGTAAGATAGTATGGTATAGGGGGTTTGTTATAGTCTAAACAGCATTAAATGGTTTTCACCTGATCATTACATATTAAGTCTAATGACTGTCTCTATATTTTTTCCACTTTTCAGCTGCCATTACCAATAAAAAAAATCTTCTCAGATGTTGAATAACATTATTTTGGTATTGAATATTAATCATATGATATGGTATATGGTCTACAGAATCTTTTTAAGTACAATACTCAAAGTCAGTGAGTAAGAACATTTACCAATGTTCATAATGTGGATTGTTGTAATCATTTTTCTGATTCTAAATATATAATTTATATATAAATTGTGTGCAATATCTGTTAAATATAACTTTTTAGTTGGGAAGTTATTTGAATCATTAATGCATATATGACAGACCATAGGTTTCTTCATTTCATTCTAAAATAACTTTCTATAACGTGTTTCTTCAGAAATATAATGCACTTACGTAATTAAAAGTAATAATATCCAAAACTCTCACTATACCTTAAAACCTCTGAGAAGCTATATGATTTGCAAAGTTTATGAGATTATCAAACAGAGAAATATAAATGACAGAACAAAACAAATGAAAAACTGAAAAGAAATGTATATGTATATCAATAGTGCTGTTATGTAATGTTTGCAGTAAAGATGTAAAATGCAAAAATGGACTGCTAAGTATATCTCAGGCTAGGTAGTATCAAAGCATATGATTACTACTTTTTTAACAGATGATGTCCTCAAAATTTATCAAGAAGAAGAAGAAGAAGAAGAAGAAGAAGAAAGAAGAAGAAGAAGAAGAAGAAGAAGAAGAAGAAGAAGAAGAAGAAGAAGAAAAGAAGAAGAAGAAAAAAGAAGAAGAAGAAAAGAAAGAAGAAGAAGAAGAAGAAAGAAAAAAGAAGAAGAAGAAGAAGAAGAAGAAGAAGAAAGAAGAAGAAGAAGAAGAAGAAGAAGAAGAAGAAGAAGAAGAAGAAGAAGAAAGAAGAAGAAGAAGAAGAAGAAGAAGAAGAAGAAGAAGAAGAAGAAGAAGAAGAAGAAGAAGAAGAAGAAGAAGAAGAAGAAGAAGAAGAAGAAGAAGAAGAAGAAGAAGAAGAAGAAGAAGAAGAAAAAGAAGAAGAAGAAGAAAAGAAGAAGAAGAAGAAGAAGAAAAGAAGAAGAAGGAGATGAAGCCAAAGAGAATGTGGAGAAGGAGAAAGACGAGGAGAAGGAGGAAGACGAAGAGAATGAGGAGAAGTAGGAAGAAGAGAAGGCGGAAGAAGAAGAAGAGAGCAGAAGAAGAAGAAGAAGAAGAAGGAGAGGAAGCCAAAGAGAATGTGGAGAAGGAGAAAGACGAGGAGAAGGAAGAAGACGAAGAGAATGAGGAGAAGTAAGAAGAGAAGGCGGAAGAAGAGAGCAGAAGAAGAAGAGAGATAAAGAAGATACATCAAACCAACTACCACTTATCCAAACACACCACAGAAGACTACATTACCGGAATTAATAAGAAAGAATACAGAAAGACAAACTACATGACAAAGATTTATTACACAATTTACAAAGAGGGTTAATTGTAATCTAATTACACTGCCTACACAGTTTGTAAGTCCATGAAAAAAAGAAAAAAAACTTAGGAAATAATTAGGAACAAATCTATGCCATACAGCATATTCTTACACAAATACACTTTTAGTCATTTTTTCTTTTCTTATCTCTAACTTACAACATGAGACAACATTATACAGTATATTAAATTTATAATCCCATCCAGGGATAAAAGGGAAGTTAAATTCACTGTGCATTAATAAAACAGTAAATAAATATCCAATTTAATGTATATTGCTAAATATAAATTCTACTGCATAATAAATAATTTTGGTCAAACTGACCAAGCAAATAAAAAAGATCAAATAAATCATACTATATCAACTTAATTAAAACCAACCAATTAATTTACAATAAAACAAAGATCTCACCTCACTTATCATTATCCATTAGTAAGTAAAGTGACTCTTCACAATGACCATCTTCATTCTGTGCAATTGAGAAACTACAGAAAATCTTGTCATTGAAAGGGCAACATCCACCCATCTTAATTCTTATGAAAATCTAAGCTCGTATCTGCATGACAAGTAAAAGCAATTGTCAGTTATACTTAGCTGTTTATAGTTTAAAGCTATATGTTCTGGAGTGTGTGTAGCTTTTACTCAATCATAGCACAGATAAAGCTCTAACAGTTACATCATGATGTGTTTATCAGAAACATTTATAGAGATTCAGCAAAGCAAATCATATATCACTTCAATTCTCAACTTTAAAAAAGTGATTTCAGATTCATTTCCCAAGTCAAACTGCTCGCACTCTGCTTTTACTTACATATATCCAATATCATTAAGATTTCATGGTATTATCTTACAATACCATGAACCTAATATTAGTGATTCATTTTAAAGCTTTGCTTTCATCACAGGTGATAATTTTGACATAAATAAGGAACTATTCTAAACATAATGGATTTTTGGAAATTAGAAAAATTCAACATTCAAAAGGATATTTCTCTATGAAAAGGTGCCTAACATCATCTAATCATTCAAAAATCACATTAAATTCTAGTCACGAGTCATATTTCTGTCAGAGTCCAACATCCTAACCACAAATCAAAGCTTCACTTCAGTCCTTTACATATTTTCACAAGTCTCTATTAATATATATTGGAAATGAGAATAAATGCCACTCATTTCATTCTTTGTAAGCTCACAATATCACTTTTCTCCAATAGCTGCTCTGCCAGTGTGGCGCATCACTCACATACAATAACCACAGCTGCTTGTGTTTCCTAATCAGAAATTTACAATACCATAATTCTGTCTCCTTTCAGCCTCTCTATACCAATGACTATATATATATATATATATATATATATATATATATATATATATATATATATATATATATATATATATATATATATATATATGTATGTATGTATGTATATATATATATAAAGAAACTCTATCAAAAGCACAGCAATAACTACTGACAGCTTCAGACTCAGTAGTATCTATGGGTGTATATGCCTTTACACAGGCAGGGAAAAGGGAATATATTGAAAGGTATTGGAACTGCTTAGGTTATCTGAGATATTCTCAAAACATGGTGTAAAAATAATATAAATAGAATAAAAAAACAGTGTTTCCACTACTATTTTGAGTTCAAGACACTGGTGCAAAGGGAGTTGCAGTGAGGTCACATACCTCCCTCTGACATGCTACAAGTCCTGCCAAAACAGAGACATAGTCCTGTAAACATGCAGCACTAAATCCCTCCAATTGTATACAGGTATATCAAATTACAAGGCACAGTTTAATCAGAAAATCATACAAAAATAATACAAATTATAATAACAAGTATAATAATAATAATACAGATTTATCACTATGGAAGGTTACCCTGCCAGTGCTAAGGAGTTAGTGGCTTCTGTGAGAGGACACTGAACACACGTATATCTAAGGCATATTCGTTTTGTTGAGTACATGTACACTAGACTTTTAATTAGATTCCGACACTTCTCCCTTATCAAGCCGTGTAAATAAGCTCAATCGGCAGCAGAATCGAGACCTAACCAGGGTCCAAGACTCTGGAAACTAAACACACCTCTACTGTGTAAAGGTACACAGACGTCAAACAGCATTATTAAGGCTCCACATAATTAGCCTAAGGTGTTTTGGATAATTCTATGAGATTCTGTTACAACGGGGAAAAGTATAGGAAAATGTGCATAAACCTGTTCAGTAATGTGCAACTTTTGGCCACTCATTTGACACATATTGGGAATGTGAAGTGCCTGTCACAAAGCTAAAATAGAAAATTAGTTCATACATTATATGCTTCAGAATAAATATAACCATTCAATACACAGGAATGTAAAAGTTTATATCACAAAGCATAAATACAAATATGTCTACACATACATAAATTTACTATTTGTTAAAAATAATAGAAATCATTTCACAGCATTAAAGAGATAAATATCAACTAACAAGAATTCAGAAAGCTTTGCTGCTTACTGTTTATTTTCATATTAGTTATTCAACTTAATCTATAAAAAGATTAAGTGAAGCAAAGGCATTACCACAAATGTGATCCAAAATTCTTCAATATATGTTATATTCAGTTGATTGTTATTACTAGCCAAAATATTCAGTGTTTATCAATCTTCACAACTTACAAACAACAAAGTACATTTCAACCAATTTCAAAATACAGATTTATGCACTAGCATTCACTTCACAGTGGTGTAAAGCTCTCTACTAACATGCAATATTATGTCTTTGGCCATGCAATATAGTATTTACTTATTTGTTGGTAAAGATCAAATGCAACAAATCACATATATAGTCACTTAATGCATGAATTCAGCCATGTTGAACTTTAGGCTATTTTCAGACACTGTGGTGAATCCATACTGTTGGTAAATCTCACTTATGCTCTCGGGTTTGAAGGGAGGCAATCCACCATTACTATCCAGCACACCCAGGCTGCCATTCACCACAAGAGCAAAATAGTCCTCTGAAGCCATATCCTGAAACACTTTTGCATAGAGGTACTCTGCATCACTCAGTGCACCGTAGTCCACGGCTAGTGATATTGTACCATTTTCATTGTGAATAGTGAAGAGTTCCGGTATGATCTCTGACCGTCTGAACTGTCCCAATTTTAGGCTCTCCTCCAACTGCTCTGCATTCTCTGACCGGGTGAAGAACACAGTGCTTGCTCTCTCTGGCTTGAAAGTATTGAGCTGCTCATCAAAGAAGGGGTTGCCTTCGTCTTTCTTCTCTCCTTCTTTACTTTCATCCTCTGGCGCAGGTTCAGGATCTCCTCTGATGATCAGCTTTCGTTCGTTAACTTTGTTGAAATCATCCCAAGCCCCCCAGTTCCTCCAGTGACACCAGTCATATCGATTGATGTAGTTGATCATTCCTTGATGGTAGTCACAGTAATCCTGGCAAAGGCGGATGACCTGCAAGCCAATCTG